GCTAACTGAGGATTACCCATAACCATAGCCTTGAATTGTAAATATTATAATCAGAGAGATAATAATAGTCCATGAAATAATTAATTAACTCTCTAGCCCTTCAGGGCAAGGAAAATGTGGTAAAACAGAAATATAAACCACTCTCCATGTGTGTTGAGTTGTCTAAAAGCAACATACCCATTTTTTCTAGCTTAGCTCAGTTTTCTTGACCTCTAAATACTTGCTCGCCATCTTCTGAATCTTTAAAGGTAAAAACTTGATGAGAGCACTGAACCAGAGCTTTGCGGGGTACCATACGGCAACTTTCAGCATTCAGTTTTCAACTATCCAAGATTCAGGATAAAATCTGAAAAGACAGCTAAGAAAAGAAAGTTATCTAATTACTGTCTTATGGAGCCTTTGTTATCCAAATTCTTGCACCTAAAGCAAGAGGCTGAGATGGCAGAAGTCTCGCATACAATCCATGTTATTCTAAATGCAATAGATTTAGAAACAGGAAGCCTTCCTGATAAAATTGAATGAATCAGATCTGAACTGGAGCTCAAATGGAGTTAGTCTGCATTTCTTTATGGACAGGGGTCTGCTACTCTGACTCTTTCTAAGAAACCAATGCGGGATTCCTTCCCAAAGTAAGGTACTACTCAGGATGAGTAAAGGGTGGGAAAATCTGGCCTGTTGTATAGAAATACATAGATAATAATGTCAGTTTTCTCAGAGTCCTCAACAATACTTAGGTTCTTCATTTTTTTCAATTATTAACCATATTTACTGTATTTGCATTAATTAACATGCAACAAATTTCATTAATCTCTATCTCATCCACCATACATGGACTTTTCAAGTTTATTTTCTTTCAAGATTTTAGTATCCATGGTACTATTAAAAATATTGATTCTACTATCTGTTGATCACTTTTCATTATTAATTTTCGAGGTGAAATCACTTTGCTTGTTTCTTCTAAAGCACCAAAGAGCTGAATCCATATGAAGAAGAAAAAAAAATGAGCAAACAAAAAACCTTATGAAACAAGCTTAAAATCCTTGCCTATTTCTTGCCAACTCAGTAATTGTAAAATTGCTTAATGACTTTTTCCCCCCCTTTTTGAGGGAAAAAAGTCCCTTGCAGGCTGAAAACTTGTACCCTAAGTTTTTTCACATGGATCTGTTTTGAAAACAGTAACATTTTTACACACACACACACTCCTTAAAAGATAATGTAACGGGAGAACTACTCTTGATTTCCATGCCAATTTACCTGAGAATATTTCTTGCACAGCTGATTTTTCATTTTAACCAACTATCAGGGCCGGCTCTAGGTTTTTTGCCGCCCCAAGCTCCGAGAGCGCAACTGCCCAAGCAAGAAAAAAAGGGTGGCCGGGACGCCGCTCCTGGTATTGTGCTGCCCCAAGCACGTGCTTGCTTTGCTGGTGCCTAGAGCCGGTCCTGCCAACTAGGCTTGGACAGCAAGCAGAACACTTTAAAAAAGATTATGCTGCATTAGTACACTGCCACAGGGTGGCTGGCCCCTGTAAGTGAACAGGCCCAGTGGTCTGGTGCCAGAGCAGGTGCTCCCAGTTTGGCCAATTAAGAGAGCAGGGCAGCACGTGAGGCTATTAAGGGGAGGGGAGGGGGAAGCTGAGACCCAGTTTGAGAGAGACCTGGAAGTTAGGAGACTGGATGCATTATCTCATCTGAGTCTTAGGTGAAGCCTACTGCCTGGAGCTTGGTTGGTGTCAGACCAGAGAAGGGAAGGGCTTCCTTTGAGAAGAATTTGATTGTTTGCTTCCACGGGCTGCTGTATGGTCTACAGCACAATTAGCAAGACTTTGCATACAGTAACTGCTTCCTTTTTCTGTTATGGTATCCCACATTTCCCAGAACAAGGGAGGTATACTGTACTCAAATGTAAAATCCCAAAATACAATCTTCCTTAGCTATATATAAATTGTTTTATAATCACATGCCTGCATTAGCATTTAATGCTGTCATTTCTGCACACCCCTATATAATGTGTGTACAATATATAAGAGGAAACCTGGCTAAGAACATTGAAAAATCATTGTAGCATTATATTTCATTGGCAAGAATAAACAGAAAAATAAGCAGTGTAAATAAAAAATTGACCCTAACTGTACAGCATTCTACACTGTACATTCATACACCAACTCTGCTACCACTGAGACCTGCCTTTAGTTTGAGCAATTGCAGTCTTTGTTTTACTTGTATCGATTTAATCAATTATTAAAATAATTTGTTCTCTGTGTGAATAGTACTTTAGGGTCTGCCTCTGAAGTGCTGATCAACTTGGCAAGGGAAGGATTTGAAAGAAATACAAAAAGTCTAAATAAGAAGATCAAAAAAAGGGCAAGGGGGTTGTATAAATGAGTTTGCTATTTTAGACTGGTACAAGTAAGGGTCCTTCTCTTTGGGCTCTGACTTACAGTTTAATAGGATTTTAATTATAGTGTCATTTGGGTTTTTGTAATCTCACTAGTTTGGCAGCATATAACAGAATTTAAATCTTTCCACCCTATGCTCTCTTCTGTATTTCTCTTTTATAGTCTGTATTTCTCGTAGAGGCTGTTTTGAACTATTTTTCTAGCAATCAGCTGTAGATTGAGAAACTTGAAAAACTGGGCTATTGCTAAAACCCTTCCATCTATTTCTTGTTGTTAGAACCTTTTCACAGAAGTCAGGTTTCACTATGGACAAAACTATTATATGGCCCATCCAATTTTATTAATAGTCTCCTTCATTCAGATGCTCACAGCTTTTACTGACTTCAGCGACACATGCATTCAGTTGCTGAATCTAACCCATATGTTTTTACATTAAAATGAACAAAATGTGAATGTTTAATTACTCTGATCAAATATAGAAACATACGTCTGATAATAATTCATGAGCAGGATCAGCAGTATTACACTTAAAAAATGGAGAGAGCTGACTTCTCAAGTTTGATCCTTTTATATACTAACCAGCACTTTGAATTAATAACGTCACCCTTTTTCATTGGTTGCTTTCCACGATAGTCTAATTACCTGTAGTAGTTAATTACCTTTTATAAGAAAAAAGGAGAGAACAGTGGCGCTTTGGACAAAAGTCACAAGACAGAGAACAGTGAAGCTGTCAATGTGTTTTCTTGGTTCAGTGGTGGAAGAGATGGTAGTCAAGAGGATCAGAATTTACTTTTATTCCCCGTCTTTAAAACTTAAGGTAGAGTTGTGTATAGTGGTTAAAACACATGTCATGGGTTCTAATTAAAGTTGGGCAACTTATTAACTGTGTGGTCTTAGGCAAGTCACTTAACCTCATCAGCCCTTATTCACCTCAGCTGGAAAACTGGATAGAAGTGGGGTATTATGGAAAATCAGATGCCACATTTGAACTAAGATTTCCAGAGAAAATAAATTACACCCAAACAAAAAGCAGCACTAGAGGGCAAAAGGATAGGTTTCAGATATATGTTGGCTGGATGGACTTTTAAAGTTTAATCCATGCTCTTCCACAGTGGCCTATTGCATCACCTGACCTTTGCAAAGATGAACTTGTAACTTTAGACTGTCAGATCCTGAGTGGCAGAATGTGTAACATGCCACAGTGGCAAGGCTAAGATGTAGGTTACAAGATCCAACAAAAGACGCGCTGAAGGCATGTTCATTAGAGGACGGGCAGTTATTTGTTGTGTGTAGAAAGAGTTATTCCTAAAATGTTGTAAAATTCTGAGGCAAATAACCTTTAGAGTACCATAAGAAGGTTATTGAAAGTAGTGTACATACCTTCCTTGGAGATTCTCCAGGGTATTACTGCCACAGAGATACTGTAGATCCTGTTAATGTAGAGATAATGTAGATCCTGTTTAACTCCCAGCCACCAAATCCTCTAAGTACCTGAAATCCGTTTGGCTCTCCTACTTAATGTGCAACAGTTTATCCATCTAATGGGTCTTTATTTTCTATTATCTGTCATTTTAAGGATATTAACCTTGTGTATTATATCAACGTAGCTTGATCTGCAGTAGATTAATTGCTCCTTTACCAGGTCTGAATACAATCCCATTTAACTCTTTGGTATATATATTTTATGAAGGATTTGCAGTTTTTGGTTCACAGCCAATGCATTCTTTTATCGAGTTTATTCTTGAATCACATATTCCAATAATTTGACAAAACAGGGGGACCGGAGGGGTGATATATCTATCTCATACACAAATGCAGTAGACTATCTTAAGTTGAGGTGGCTGAAACAGTGTTGTCTATAAAACAAAACAGATGAGTGATGTTAAACCATCTGATTCAAATGTGTTCAAGAGCAGTAATATTCCTTCAGATGTCATACCCTCCTTCAGTACTAGCATGTGGCTGGATTCAGTAAACACTCCATCCATGTGTCTCATGTCACATAAAGCCAAGCCAGCTTCCTATTCTTTGAATTGATTTACCCTGGGCCCTGTAGACTTTTAGGAGTCTACTAAGGTGTTTTCTTTTCATTGTTATTATAGGTTTTAATTAGTGATCATTATCAAATGCTGTAGTGCAAATCTAGCATTGGGGATAGAAACACTGGGAGAATGTGCATGCTATTTTCTGCCTCAAATTACTCATAGAAAAATTGTTAGCCTCTCTAGCAGCAACAAGGTAATTTTGCAGCTGCATTTTCTGTTTCACATGACTGGGACAGTTTTGTCATTCAACTTTAATTACACTGCTAGGCAAAAAAGTCTCCTGAACTCTTTCCAGGCCTGATTATAACTGATCCAAAGAATAAGCATGCATGGCAGAAGTTAAAAGTGCCTAGATTTCAGCTACCCTAGATTTTTTTTTTAAACATAAGGGTAGCTAAATTCTGAAAAAAAGAACAGAAGCAACATGATGTAATGGGGACTTAATTCTTTGAGATTTACCAAAGGTAGGGGGTTTGTTTTGTCTTTAGTATAAGTTCGTATTGTTTCTCTTGGAGAATGATTCTCAGAATTGACTCAATGTGATCTTTGTTTTTAAGATCTGGAAGGCTTTGACTCTGTAGTACCAGTTGCTGAGAAGCTCAGTCATCCAACTACAACCAGACCAAAAGCTACTGGCAGACGACCTCCATCCCAGTCACTCACATCTGTACGTTCATTTTTTCTTCCTTTTTTTTTTCAAATTACTTTCTGAAAATTTTTTTCTTGGTAAGTATCCGTGTTGTTCAATCCTTTCATTTACACTTAGGCAGCTGTGTCACACATACTAATGAGGTGCTGGAGGTGGTTCTCAGGGAGACCCTTTTTAAAATTATGTCATAATTTTGAATGTAAGTTTAAGAACATTCCCTGTCAAAGAAAGAGTTTCACCACTCTCTGAATACTACTAGATCATCTCTACCAAGCGTGACTGGAGCTCATAAAAATACTTCATAAGAGTTTTTGGAATAGACCAGATTGCACTTGAGGTGTCAAGTACTTTTAAAAAAGTTTCCCCAAGGAGAATATTCCTTGGTCTTTTTAGGGGTCTTCAAAACTGCCCCCACTGTCAAATTATACAAGTTGAATTCTGTGCTATATTGGCAATAAACACATTATGTTTTTAGAGGAACAAAGTATCAACATTTCTAGCAAAGTGAACTTAATGTGCTGTTTGTTTGCCAAATGGTGTTGCCTTCTTCCTTGATTGTTATGATTTAAAAAAGCATTTTTATTTAAATGGTAAATCAAATCAATATATTGAAGTCCCTTACTCTTCCTCTTTGCAAACATATACATCCCTGGAAAATAGAGATTTCCAAAAACTAAGGGGGATATCTTTTTATGAGCCTCTTGTTCAGATATGGGCTACTCATAACTGACACACACACTCTCTATATATTTCTGTAATAACATGCCAGTTGCAGTTTTTCTGCATATTAAGTCATACTTTTAAATTTCATTGTTCATGTTTGCATGTTTTTTCTCTCAAACTTTCCTGCCTCTTCTATAAGAGCTGTTATTCTTGACTCATAGTTACTGTCAGAAACTTAAATTTCATCTTTTTTTTTTTCACGACAAGAAAGAAATAAAAAGGGGCAATTGACAGAAGACACCATGTCTTACACCACTTGCACATCAACTGTGACTTTTAGGAAACTCTTGCTCAACAAGTTACACCCAATAAACAGTGTGTCTCAGATGAAGGAATCAAAATGACCTATTGGTTGTGCCCGGGGTCACTATTTAATAGATCTGAAAACCCAAAAGACACTCCCTGACATCTCCAGATACTAAACATGTGACTGGTACAGGGCACAGCCAGATAAGTTCAGTAGCAACAACAATTAAAGAAAATGAAGAAATTAAAATTAAAGACGGGAAAAGATAGAATTGAAGGGATTGAACAAGAAGGGGAAAGGAAGAATTTCAGTAGCTACACATGATTTTTTTTCAGTTATAATATAATAATGTAATATAATATTGTGATTTCCTAATAACAGGCCTTCTCTCACTTATCATATACCCATGCAAGTACTCACAATGATAAAAGGCAACCTATCCACTATTCACACATCCTGTTCAATTCTGTTATCAAGCAACCCACTAGCCGCTGTTAGCTCTAAATAATGTATTTGTTTTTACTGACATCCAACAACCAATGACCCAAAGGACTCAGGTGTGTATCAGGATGATATTAATTTTGATAGGGGCCCAGGGCTGTTATAGTTTTGGGAGTCCCTCCTTGCATATTCAGTTTCTTTCGTTCACTGTTTTACCACCACCCCTGTCCAATGTCAAAGAATCAGTTTTTAAATTACCTTGGTTATTTCCGTTTTCTTTTTTAAATGTGATATGGTAAGGTTGAATTAAAGTTAAAATGGGCAAAACCATTTTAATTTTGGGCCATAACCAGTAGTAAGGCTTTAATTACCTAATTATCAATAGCAGTGGTATTCAGTTACATTTTCTGATGAGCCAGATAAGGCAAAGTCCAAATCTTGGTGGGCCAAAGGGCTCTTCAGGTATTTGCTCCTAGTGAAACTGCCACTGGCCAGGGCTCACAAGCTTTCAAGAGTGGTGTGCCAGATTGTATTTATTAATCTCAAAATAAAAGGTTGAGTGAGCCAGTAGGCAACAGTGCAACAAAATCTTTCAAGCAAATAATTATATAGATTCACTGTAATGCTATTAACACAGCATGCTATTTATATTAATTCTATTTAAACTGTGAAATTAACATTATAAATTAATCTCACTAGGAATGAAGGGACATCTAACTTTCTTTTCCTTATTGTCTGAAATTTTGACACTTGCACAATCTTTTTTTTTGAAAACTTCTGTGCAGCATGTGATCACGTGAAAGTATGTCAATTACTCATAACTTCATGGTGTATAACTAAGTATCTGAGTAAGCTCCCGATTAAAAGTGTACCACTGTAAGTAGAAATGTATCAATGGATTGTAGATCTAATGTGTTTAAATGTAAATGAAAAGCTTCTACATTAAATACATGGCATGAAAGTCAATAGAGGGAAAATAAACTGAAGTGCATCGGCACAGAACCCATCAGTTCTTCCATCTAGTGACCTGAAGAAGAGCTCTATGTCAGCTCCAGAGCTTGTCTCTCTCACCAGTTAGAAGTTGGTCCAATAAAAGATTTGCCTTACTCACAGTGTCTCTCTAATATCCTGGGACTAACACAACTACAACATCACTGCATACATCTAGTGCCCCCATCAGTATTGCCCAGCCCCCTATCAGTTCTGCCCTCTAACACCGCCCGTCAGCTGTGCCTCCTCCCCAGCCTCACCTCTACTCCTACTGGGGTTCTTCACCCCCTTTTTCAGGCCAGAGAGGGCTGCAGCAGGGTCCCCTCTTCCCCTTCCTGGCAAGGGGTCTTCACCTCCCTCCCTCTTCCCTGGTCAGGAGTTACAGGGTGGGAGAGAAAGGAACAGAAAAGCCATCCCTGCTCACAGGAAGGGGTGCAGGGGAAGAGCGAGTGGAGCTGCCCAATGCTTCAGGGCTCTTTATGCTCCTTCCTCTCCTCCTGTGAGCAGGGGCATCCCTCCCTTCAAGTGAGAATAGGCCAGGCTCCGGAGAGGAGAGGGAGGGAGGTCTGCTGAGTCGCTCTGATTGGCTGCTGCTTTCCAGTAGGTGTGAAGGAACATGGCTGCCAATTGAAGATGCTATAAATGATATATCAATATCTAGATCCCCTATAGGCCCTGCATTAATCCACCCCTTAATGTATGAAGACATAGTCCAGACTACCAGCTCCACGTAATAGGACCTCCCTTTCATCTGTTAAAATACCACTTAGGGGGAGTAAAGCTATCTTTTTCTAACTTCTCTGGATCTGTTATATAGATCAAATTGTGCCCAGCTTCCTGGTGTGTGACCAATATAATTTTGCTGCTTAAAAAAACAAAGATTTGATCATGCACAAATACTCAATCTTTTGTGTATAATTTTCATTTTCTTCCATTTTTTGTTTTTGCATGTTGGGATGTCTAAATGAGAGTGTGCTATTACTAACACTAATGTCTCATGTTCATATGCTAGAAAAATAAAGTGGAGGGAAAGTGAATAGCTCATCATGGAAATAAAAAAGAACAAAAACGGAAGGTTACATTTACTTAAAACAAATCTAAGCCAGTTTGTGGTTGACTCTGTGCAAGACGCAAAGTGTGCAAGGTCAGGGGGCAAAGGATGCAATGAGCTTTCCCCTCTTCGTGCTCCTACACAGAGGCTAGACACAAGGTGGATTGGAATGTAGGTGTTGTGTACAGATAGCAGCACTAACCTCCCCAAAAATGGTAGAGTGAGGCCTGCACCTGACCAGGCCAAATGCATCCTCTCCCAGTGTGGTGGAACGGAAGTAACAGCAGCATACACACCTTATTAACCTCAGCAAAATTCTGCCTCATTAAACTAAAATTCTGGGGGGCAGGAAGGCGCTGTGCACCCTCTTCTTAACAAAGAGTGCCCCTAAATCACAATATAGCCACTACACATTTGTCATTTCAGTATTGCTCTTTCCATTCGCCAGCCTTTAAAACAAGGTACTAATTAAAACAGAACTTTGAAAACCTTCTTTTTGAGTTATAAGTTGTCTTGTATGATAACTTTTGATATTATTTGCTATGTAATTTTTTTCTTTTAAAAGTAGTCTGGAATGAAAATATCTGTTTTTATTTTTTTGCCTATATAGTCCTCCCTTTCAAGTCCTGATTTCTTTGACTCACCAAGCCCTGAAGAGGAAAAGGAAGAACATGTGTCCATTATACATAAAGCAACTGAAGTGTCAAAGAAAACAAAGACTGTTACAATATCACAAGTAAGTTAATCAGACCGTTTTGATTACTCTGCATCTGCTAACTTACCCTCATGTACATGCATTGTCGTTTATTTTATTTATTTCACGGTACCCATCATCTCAGTAACTAGGCTCCTCAGGGTAGTTAGTTTTAAAAAATACATATAATACTGAAGGATTGTCCTACAGTGAAATACAAGATGGAGGCCTAGTCTACACTAGAAGAGGTTTGCCCTTACAGCTTTGCAAGTATAGCTATATGGGCAAATCCTCCCACTGTAGACACATTTTATACTGGCAAAAAAGTGTGTTTCCCAATATAGCTTATACCCACTCCCTGAGCAAAATAAGCTGTACTGGCAACACTTTTTTGCTGGTATTACTGCATCTATTCTACGGCTTTTGCCAGTATAAAAAGGTTGCAAAAATCATATCCCTAAGCAACATTACTATACCACAAAAGTTTCTGGTGTAGGCAGGGCCTTAGTAATTAAAGATCTAAGTTCTGTTTGAACTTAGAAAAGTTACTAAATCTCTCTTCACATCCTTTTCTTTTCTGTTTACTATTAGGCATGTTGTGTTGTCTATTTGTGTAACATTTTATCTTTGCTTTGAGGTCCTCAGAGAAAAAATCTGATACAAATACAATGTATTATTTATGATGATTAAATATTGATCTCAATCAAGGTTTCATTAGTGCAAATGACCCTGTTATCTGCCTCAGCTACGGTACCCCAGTCAGTCAAAAGCCCAACCAAAGAGGTAAATCTGGCACCGTGTCCTTTAGACTGTCAAACTCTGGCCACTGCTGACTCATTGGAAACCAGTTCCAGAGGTTATGAATCCCTATTGGGAATATCCTATGGACATCCAGAACTCAAGAGCAAAAGCCGTCAAACCACTAGAATTAAATCTGAGAGGGAGAAGAGGATGAGATAACTGAGTTCCAAACCATTTATGATTTTAACTATTGGTACCAAAACTTTAAATGGTACTGGTAAGTGAACAGTCATTAGTGTAGAACATGTCATATTGATAATATATCGTCACAGTAGCCTAGAGAAAATGGAACCATGTTAATAATGAATACAGACATCTGTATTTACTGCTCTAAACTATCATACTGTTCTAGCTAAACTTCACAAGAGAGCTGCACATCACAGAGAACTATTGTCAAGGTTTTAGGCACCAAATTCCATTTAACTTAAAAATTTGTTTTATTCTGATTCTAGTTCTCTGGATCCTAAATGTATGAAGCAAACTTCTAGCAGAAAAAAACAAAACCCTAGCATGGTCTAGTGGATATCAGCCTGGGAGTCAGGAGACATGGGTTCCATTCCTGCCTCTACCACCTTTTGAGACACCTTGGGCCTGTGCTTCTATTTCCTCTTCCACTCTGTCTTATCTGCCAAGGGCTTGTCCACGTGTAGTTTTTGCACCACTTTCACTAAATCAGTTTAGAAACAGACATAAATATAAATTCACAGGAATAAACTATATATGTATAAGCACCTTCAAATTGTTGAAACCTGCCCACAACAGGGGTTGTACCACTCTAAATATATCAATATAAAATCACACCCCTGTCTGAAATAAATTGGTATAAAAATTTTGTGTAGGACAGGCCTTAGACTGTAAATTCTTCGGGGCAGGACCTGTTTCTTACTGTGTGTTTGTACAGTGCCTAGCACAATGGGACCTCTAGGCACTACCTTAACACAAAATATAAATTCTAGATTGGATATTTAAAAAAGAAAGAGAGCCACATTTGTTATGGTGTTACTGAAAGAACACTTTCTGTATTGCTCCCTGTGCTCTGCAGCATTTTAATCAGCAAATACTGTTCCCAGAGTTCTGCCAACATCAGTAAGTGACAAAGTTTAGTCTAACGTGTACCTCACTTCCTAATCTGTAAAATAGGAATAATATTTCACAGGGATGTTGTGTGGATAAAAATCCATTATTTTTTTATTCAGACACTTCAGTGATGTGGGCCCATATAAGTACCTACATAGGTAGATTAAGACAATGAAACTTCCAAGCCCCAGAATTCCTGTATGGAAGTGTGGAGATGTAGACATGAGCAGAAACTCAGTACCAAAGTTACACAATTATTTTAAAGTAGTTGAACATATTATTTTTCTCCTTGATAGATGTTTCTCATTGATAGATGAATACTTCCTGCAATATGAGGTACATTTGTTCTGATGGAGAATAAGTCAGGGAGGTTTAAGGATTATATAGCTCTTAAGTAATAATCTGGGTAAAGTAACTTTTCCTTTTCTTTAACTGTGTTTTGGATTGCAGACAGAATCTTTCAATTACTAGTTGAAAATCACAACAAATTTGGTACTGCAAGAAATCCTACTTAGTTTCTCTGCATGACACAAGTTGCATTCTCACCGAAATAGGTCAGCTTAGCTCAGCGTACTCTGACTTATAATAAAGTTCTGTGTGAAACGTATATCAAGCACTTAATTTTGTTAGAGAATTGCCTGTGTCGTCTTAATAAAAATGTAAAATCTCTGTTTTTAACTCTTTTCACCTTTGTACCTGTCTTATTGGTGACCTAGATTTTGGTAACGTTTTTTCCTTGTCAGTTGCAACAATACTGATGGAAAACATTTCAGTGATGGGTTGGGCTGAGGGTCCCTGGCAGGCTCAAGCTTAATACTGTGGTTGTTCAGAAAGACAGATTTGAGTAACAGTGACGTATCGTATCCATTGTGCCATGTTGAAGCATGTAAAGGTTCTAACCAAACCCATCAGCATGACTGCAGGGGAGTAAAATATAGCTAATACTGAGATGTGCTTCCAATTCAGGAAACCAAAGCTTCTTATCACTGGCAACTTAATATTCATTGTTTTTTGTTGACAGGTGTCTGATAATAAAACTTCATTGCCTCCAAAACCAGGGGGTTTGACTAGTGGGAGTAATGTACAAGCATCGTTATCCTCCTCATCCTCACCTGCACTTCATTCAGTTACTGTGGGAACAACAGGCCATAGGTCAAATTCCCCATCTTTGTTCAGTACTGAAGGAAAGCCAAAGACTGAGCTCTCAAGCCAGGGTCCGGCAGCCTTGGAAGAGCTGAGAACACAAGTTAAGGAGCTAAGAACTATCGTTGAAACAATGAAAGACCAGCAAAAGTAAGCATTAGAAACCACAACATCCATTCTAATCATCTTTACTGTGCTTGTACCAATCTTTTCCATATAATATGTATGTTTGTGTGTGAAATTCCTTTGATCTTTTTGTCAGACAAAAAGGTTTCATAAAGACAGATGTTGAGAAAAATTTTAAAATACTGATACAGTCAATCTGATAGTTTGTAACAGCTTCTCTGGAGCTACGTTGTTTTATCATATAAGTACATGTTTACATGGACTTTTTGAAAAGCTGAACTGCTGACTGACAGAGGTTAATGAGTCTAACGAGGTGCTACTGTCTAACACGTCAGTTGTCATTTAGGGACTCTTAAATATGTTGATCTGAAAGCTGAGAAGCATTTCTAGTGGGGTTTTATACTAAAATTCTTCAGTAGTTGTTAAACTGTTAATACAGTTGCCCAGAAAGCTGCTCCTCCAAATGATTTTGTTGCAAGTGACGGGATTTCTGAGGGTCTAGAGCCCATCCCACCATGATGTGAGACATTCCAGCCCCCTCATGAAGTTCAGCCCTGCTATAAGCCAGCAGAGCCTCTCCATCTTGCTTGCAGTGTTCTCACAGGAGGGGAGGGAGGAGTAGGGAGCAAAGAGCACAACAGCCCAGCATGGCTCCACTCCTTCTGCCCCGCTTGCCAGGATGGTGCCTCTGCTCCTCACCTGCATCCCCCTGCAGCACCTGCGATGGGAAGGGGCAGAGAGAGGTGAAGAGCCCATGGGAAAGGGGAGATGAGAGGGGACGCTGCTGTATACCCCCAGGCCTGGGAAAGGGGAGTGAAGACCCCAGGAGGAGCAGTGGTGTGGCTGTGCGGGGAGGGCTGAAATGTGGGAATGGGGACTGATGAGAATGGGGGGACTGAATTGATGGTGGGGGCTAGGGTGTGCTGTTGGGTTCAAGGAAGGGGAGAAGTCCCAGGAAGCACAGGAGGAAAGAACAATTAAAATAAAAACGAATTTTTTTACCTATTTGGACAATTATGAGATTTTAAAAAATAATTTATTGTAACTACTGGATAATGTATATAGTTACACAGTTATCCAAATTACACAAAGAAAGAATGGTTTAAAATTATTTGTTAAATATTTAGAATGTAACTGAATTATTTAAAAAATAATATTTAGGGATTGATAAGTATCATTATTGCACTGAAATATAGAAAGCTCGGAATGGTTCATGTTGTAAACATATTCATGTACATAGCGATCTTTGCAGCTCACATAAATCTTTATTGAAAAATAATTGGAAAACTTGATACATAATGAGAGTGCTTTGTGTTTCTTGGATGTTCTTTATTCATTTTCCAGCTCCATTTTACAGGCTTCGTATGTTTTCAAATATGTGTAAATTAGATTTTTTGTCATATTTTATATTTATTACATTATAGTGCTCTCCACTGAAGTACATATATTATACCTGTGTACAATACATTAACATAAGTACTCCCCCTCTTTCCCACCAGCCTGGGTGTCTTCCCTCTCTTTATCCGTTCTCTCCGTTTTTGAAGGGGCATCCATCCTAATAAGCAGATACCATTAACAGAGGCCACTTAGGACTAAATAAATAAAACAACTAAATAAAACAAATATTTAACCATTTTGCATCTTCTCCATTCTAATTCTCCTTAAATATGTTTGTGTACCTCCACCATCTCCATTTGAGCAGCCAGGGAGAAGCATGTGTGCATTAAAGGTTGATTTTTCAACCTGAAATTATCATACACACATTACCAGAAGAGTAGAGGGAGGTAAAAAGTCAAAAGACAGACTAAAAAACCATGGTTTGATGATGTTTTATAAATCTCATTACTTTTTTAGGAACTGGCTCATGATTTTTGATCTTGTGAGGCTGGCAATACTGTAACTGAATTGTGATTAATAATGAGTTGAAAACTCTCCTGTCATTATTCTGAGTCTTACATTTATTTTTATTCTTGGGGGAGGGGGGATATTGGGAGGGTTTAAACTGCTCAAATCTCAGAAGCTGGGATTTTCTCATTATTTTTGACCTTCCTGAATATTGCTGATATCTTCCATTGTTCCCAGTGGGAATGAAACTAGGGTGTCCACAGGCCAGGCCAAAAACAGTAAAGGGACAGGGTAGAGGTTTGGGGAAGAGGATTTTAGGAGTACCGCTAAAACCTGTAGTGGCAGAGGAATGTGACAGAACAAAGAAGGAGACTGTAGGGGAATAAAAGAACACGGGGAGGACTGTCAAGTAGGGGTTGTCGAGGTGAATGTGGCCCAATTTGGGCCAACTGACACCTATTCCCAGCCTGCCTTGCATAGCCACTGGCCCCAAGAGCCCTCTGGCCTGACATTCTAGCAGGAGCTGCCTCCAACTGCTGGTTTCTGGCTTGAAGGACAGGGCAGTAAACAGGAGTGTGACAAGATTTATTACATTCAGCGTTGCTGTAGCCGTGTTGGTCCCACTTTCTATTTAGCTGTGACATTCTGAGTACCTTTCCCAGACCTGAAGAAAATTCTGAATAAGCTCAAAAGTTTGTCTCTCTCACCAACATAAGTTGGTTCAATAAAATATATTAACCGCACCCGCCTTGTCTCTCCAAGATTTATTATGATCAGAGCACAGGCCTGGGACAGAGGAGAGGATATCTCTATGGGAAAGATATAGTGAAACTTCCTCCTCCAAATAATCACATCCTGGTCTTACCTTTCAAAGGTCAGAAACCATTTCTTTTCCCTTCATGACATCCCCTGGACAACAGACCATTTTGTGGTAACCTACCAGTGGACTAATCCAAATTTCCTATTGTCGTTTACAAAAAATGTAATTGGGGACTGACTCAGTGGTGACGTTACTGACCAGAGCAAATTTTGGTGGCCAAAGTACTAAACCTGTAAACACAGTACTTTTATTACAATGGAAAACCTTATTCCTTGTCGTATTTTTGTAAGTTGAACAAAAGTGGTCAGCTGCTACACAGCTGTTTTCCAAAAGCATAAGTGAAGTCTCTTCTGTTGATTATGTGTTTTAAATTAAACTAATGCAAAAAGTTGTAAGGATATAAATACTTTGATAAATCATTATTGAGAAAATACAGCAACTGGTTTGGTGGGAAAATGGTTCAGAGATAATTGTCTTTATTTTAATAATATGAACCTTTGCAATTTTTTCATTCTTTTTTTATAGAAAAGAGATTAAACAATTGTTGTCTGAATTGGATGAAGAAAAAAAGATCCGTCTACGATTACAGGTACTTGAATCTTATGACAGGTTTCAGAGTAGCAGCAGTGTTAGTCTGTATTCGCAAAAAGAAAAGGAGTACTTGTGGCACCTTAGCGACTAACAAATCTTATGTGGTCGGAGACAACTTTACAGGGATACTGGCAGGTCAAATTTAGCCTCAAGCATAAGGCAAACAAGCTCTTATAAATGTTATAAGAAGCACACAGTATCTTGATAGGGAAGAAGGCAGCATACCGCATTTATTGAGAATACAACAGTTAGCATATGCTTTTCAATCACACACACACACACACACTCTCTCTCTCTCTCTCTCCTGCCAGTTGATGTTTATAGTTACCAGTCCAGAGTCTGGATCAATCTAGTGGCCAACCAGATTGGTCACAAAGGGGATCAGGGATCATGGATATGTGTTGATGGTTCTTTGGCATCAACAAATCTGGATAAGTGTCTTCGCTCCGCCTTTCTTGACCATCTGGTTAACAATGGCCTTCACACCTTATCTTTTCCTGATGCATGCATTCCTCATTCACACAAGCAGTCTGTTACAGAGACCAAACAGTCTTTTACAGAGACTTTGAGAATACAAACAGTAGTATTTTATATCAAGCAAAAAGGCATTGCAAATTAAACCTTGCTAAGTTTTACAATTAATAACCAAGACAATTTACATTGAGACCCAGGCCTTCAATGTTCCTCTAATCTACTTAACATAGACACAATACAGAATCCTGTCTCTTACTAACTAAACCTTAAAACAAAGAACTAAAGAGGGCCCAATTTGTAATGCATATGGGAAAACAGAATCTCATAGTCCCAGAGGGTCATTCCTTTCTGCTATTCAAATGGGGTGGCTAGCAGGATGAAATCAAATTATACATTAATTCTTACAGTGCAGTTCTAAAATCCTGCCCCTACAATAAAACTTAAGATAAATACATTCTTTTAAAAAAAGAAAAGGAGTACTTGTGGCACCTTAGAGACTAACCAATTTATTAGAGCATGAGCTTTCGTGAGCTACAGCTCACTTCATCGGATGCATACCGTGGAAACTGCAGCAGACTTTATATATACACAGAGAATATGAAACAATACCTCCTCCCACCCCACTGTCCTGCTGGTAATAGCTTATCTAAAGTGATCATCAGGTGGGCCATTTCCAGCATAAATCCAGGTTTTCTCACCCTCCACCCCCCCCCCACAAATTCACTCTCCTGCTGGTGCTAGCCCATCCAAAGTGACAACTCTTTACATAATCAAGTCGGGCTATTTCCTGCACAAATCCAGGTTTTCTCACATCCCCCCCACCCCCATACACACACAAACTCACTCTCCTGCTGGTAATAGCTCATCTAAACTGACCACTCTCCAAGTTTAAATCCAAGTTAAACCAGAACATCTGGGGGGGGGGGGGGGGGAGGTAGGAAAAAACAAGAGGAAACAGGCTACCTTGCATAATGACTTAGCCACTCCCAGTCTCTATTTAAGCCTAAATTAATAGTATCCAATTTGCAAATGAATTCCAATTCAGCAGTTTCTCGCTGGAGTCTGGATTTGAAGTTTTTTTGTTTTAAGATAGCGACCTTCATGTCTGTGATTGCGTGACCAGAGAGATTGAAGTGTTCTCCGACTGGTTTATGAATGTTATAATTCTTGACATCTGATTTGTGTCCATTTATTCTTTTACGTAGAGACTGTCCAGTTTGACCAATGTACATGGCAGAGGGGCATTGCTGGCACACGATGGCATATATCACATTGGTGGATGTGCAGGTGAACGAGCCTCTGATAGTGTGGCTGATGTTATTAGGCCCTGTGATGGTGTCCCCTGAATAGATATGTGGGCACAATTGGCAACGGGCTTTGTTGCAAGGATAAGTTCCTGGGTTAGTGGTTCTGTTGTGTGGTATGTGGTTGTTGGTGAGTATTTGCTTCAGGTTGCGGGGCTGTCTGTAGGCAAGGACTGGCCTGTCTCCCAAGACTTGTGAGAGTGTTGGGTCATCCTTTAGGATAGGTTGTAGATCCTTAATAATGCGTTGGAGGGGTTTTAGTTGGGGGCTGAAGGTGACCGCTAGTGGCGTTCTGTTATTTTCTTTGTTAGGCCTGTCCTGATGTAGGTAACTTCTGGGAACTCTTCTGGCTCTATCAATCTGTTTCTTTACTTCTGCAGGTGGGTATTGTAGTTGTAAGAAAGCTTGACAGAGATCTTGTAGGTGTTTGTCTCTGTCTGAGGGGTTGGAGCAAATGCGGTTGTATCGCAGAGCTTGGCTGTAGACGATGGATCGTGTGGTGTGGTCAGGGTGAAAGCTGGAGGCATGCAGGTAGGAATAGCGGTCAGTAGGTTTCCGGTATAGGGTGGTGTTTATGTGGCCATTGTTTATTAGCCCTGTAGTGTCCAGGAAGTGGATCTCTTGTGTGGACTGGACCAGGCTGAGGTTGGTGGTGGGATGGAAATTGTTGAAATCATGGTGGAATTCCTCAAGGGCTTCTTTTCCATGGGTCCAGATGATGAAGATGTCATCAATATAGCGCAAGTAGAGTAGGGGCTTTAGGGGACGAGAGCTGAGGAAGCGTTGTTCTAAATCAGCCATAAAAATGTTGGCATACTGTGGGGCCATGCGGGTACCCATAGCAGTGCCGCTGATCTGAAGGTATACATTGTCCCCAAATGTGAAATAGTTATGGGTAAGGACAAAGTCACAAAGTTCAGCCACCAGGTTAGCCGTGACATTATCGGGGATAGTGTTCTTGAGGGCTTGTAGTCCATCTTTGTGTGGAATGTTGGTGTAGAGGGCTTCTACATCCATAGTAGCCAGGATGGTGTTATCAGGAAGATCACCGATGGATTGAAGTTTCCTCAGGAAGTCAGTGGTGTCTCGAAGGTAGCTGGGAGTGCTGGTAGCGTAGGGCCTGAGGAGGGAGTCTACATAGCCAGACAATCCTGCTGTCAGGGTGCCAATGCCTGAGATGATGGGGCGCCCAGGATTTCCAGGTTTATGGATCTTGGGTAGTAGATAGAATATCCCAGGTCGGGGTTCCAGGGGTGTGTCTGTGCGGATTTGATCTTGTGCTTTTTCAGGAAGTTTCTTGAGCAAATGCTGTAGTTTCTTTTGGTAACTCTCAGTGGGATCATAGGGTAATGGCTTGTAGAAAGTGGTGTTGGAGAGCTGCCGAGCAGCCTCTTGTTCATATTCCGACCTATTCATGATGACAACAGCACCTCCTTTGTCAGCCTTTTTGATTATGATGTCAGAGTTGTTTCTGAGGCTGTGGATGGCATTGCGTTCCGCATGGCTGAGGTTATGGGGCAAGTGATGCTGCTTTTCCACAATTTCAGCCCGTGCACGTCGGCGGAAGCACTCTATGTAGAAGTCCAGTCTGCTGTTTCGACCTTCAGGAGGAGTCCATCTAGAATCTCTCTTTCTGTAGTGTTGGTAGGGAGACCTCTGTGGATTAGTATGTTGTTCAGAGGTATTTTGGAAATATTCCTTGAGTCGGAGACGTCGAAAATAGGATTCTAGGTCACCACAGAACTGTATCATGTTCGTGGGGGTGGAGGGGCAGAAGGAGAGGCCCCGAGATAGAACAGCTGCTTCTCTGGGCTGAGAATATACAAGATCTCTGTCAAGCTTTCTTACAACTACAATACCCACCTGCAGAAGTAAAGAAACAGATTGATAGAGCCAGAAGAGTTCCCAGAAGTTACCTACATCAGGACAGGCCTAACAAAGAAAATAACAGAATGCCACTAGCGGTCACCTTCAGCCCCCAACTAAAACCCCTCCAACGCATTATTAAGGATCTACAACCTATCCTAAAGGATGACCCAACACTCTCACAAGTCTTGGGAGACAGGCCAGTCCTTGCCTACAGACAGCCCCGCAACCTGAAGCAAATACTCACCAACAACCACATACCACACAACAGAACCACTAACCCAGGAACTTATCCTTGCAACAAAGCCCGTTGCCAATTGTGCCCACATATCTATTCAGGGGACACCATCACAGGGCCTAATAACATCAGCCACACTATCAGAGGCTCGTTCACCTGCACATCCACCAATGTGATATATGCCATCGTGTGCCAGCAATGCCCCTCTGCCATGTACATTGGTCAAACTGGACAGTCTCTACGTAAAAGAATAAATGGACACAAATCAGATGTCAAGAATTATAACATTCATAAACCAGTCGGAGAACACTTCAATCTCTCTGGTCACGCAATCACAGACATGAAGGTCGCTATCTTAAAACAAAAAAACTTCAAATCCAGACTCCAGCGAGAAACTGCTGAATTGGAATTCATTTGCAAATTGGATACTATTAATTTAGGCTTAAATAGAGACTGGGAGTGGCTAAGTCATTATGCAAGGTAGCCTGTTTCCTCTTGTTTTTTCCTACCCCCCCCCCCCCCCCCAGATGTTCTGGTTTAACTTGGATTTAAACTTGGAGAGTGGTCAGTTTAGATGAGCTATTACCAGCAGGAGAGTGAGTTTGTGTGTGTATGGGGGTGGGGGGGATGTGAGAAAACCTGGATTTGTGCAGGAAATAGCCCGACTTGATTATGTAAAGAGTTGTCACTTTGGATGGGCTAGCACCAGCAGGAGAGTGAATTTGTGGGGGGGGGTGGAGGGTGAGAAAACCTGGATTTGTGCTGGAAATGGCCCACCTGATGATCACTTTAGATAAGCTATTACCAGCAGGACAGTGGGGTGGGAGGAGGTATTGTTTCATATTCTCTGTGTATATATAAAGTCTGCTGCAGTTTCCACGGTATGCATCCGATGAAGTGAGCTGTAGCTCACGAAAGCTCATGCTCAAATAAATTGGTTAGTCTCTAAGGTGCCACAAGTACTCCTTTTCTTTTTGCGAATACAGACTAACACGGCTGTTACTCTGAAACCGTACATTCTTTTAATATAAAAAGAAATTAAAATATATGTATATAAACAAATATATATTCCCCTTGTAGTGTTTGCAATCTATATGCTGTTGCATTGTGTTATCGCATGAAAATATGAAAATTTTCTGGAATCTGAATAGTCTTATTTTTTATTGTCTAAGCTGAGGGAAATACAAAAAAGTAAACAGAGTTCAGCTGGTGAAAAGTGAAATCTGTTTTTAAAATTCTTAGTTTTAATCATCTAATTTGTTCATAAAGTAGATGAGAGAATTTATGTTTTAAAATGTTATTTACAGCCTGCCAATGACTTTTTAAATAAGAATTGGTCTTATTTTATTTGAAAAGTTAATTTCAGCGAACAAGATTCTACTGTTTCTCTTGCACACAATCTGATAATTCTAAAAAAGTGTCATTTTAAAAAATATATATTATTTCCATTAAGAGTCCAGGTCCTGCTTCTTTAACATTTAATATTACCTTACTTGGAGTCATCCTATAGAATCAGTCACTTGAGTAGTACTTGACACCGGCAACATGAGTAAATGTAGTAGAACTGAGCCATTATTTGGACCATCAAATATACTGCTTGTGATACAGCATAGCCAGAAGGCAGCAGGAGAGTGATATAGGAGAGATATCCAGGGGAAGGAGTTTGAGCAGAGTGGTTTGGAGTTTGAGCAGAGAGCAGTTTGAAGGAGTTGGAGCAGAGTGCAGTTTGAAGGAGTTGGAGCAGAGTGCAGTTTGGAGGAGTTGAAGTAGAGGAGAGTTTGGAGAAGTGCCGTGGCTAGAAGACCAAGACCCAAGGTAAAGAGACACCTGGCTTGTGCAGAGAGAGAGGGCAGGAAGCCCCACAAGCTGAAGAGCAGGAGAGGGAAGTAGCCCAGGGGAAGGAAGCACGAATTCAAGTGGTTTACCACGATCCCTAGGGCCCCTGGGCTGGGACCCAGAGTAGAGGGTAACTATCAGTTACTCTGTTAGGTCAATTGGCAGAGGACTGTGTGGTGGATCACAGATTTCATAGAAGATTAGGGTTGGAGGTCATCTAGTCCAACCCCCTGCTCAAAGCAGGACCAACCCCAACTAAATCATCCCACCCAGGGCTTTATCAAGCCGGGCCTTAAAAGCCTCAAAGGATGGAGGTTCCACCACCTCCCTAGGTAACCCATTCCAATACTTCACCACCTTCCTAGTGAAATAAAGAGAAGCCTTTAGGCTTGGAGTGCAGCAACAGTTCAGTCTCCACTCAATGGAGAAGAGTCTGAGTAGGTTCACGACATGTTCCAATGACTATCTTTGCGGGGCTCTGGAAGAAGAATCTCCAATTCTCTTTAGCCGGAATGAGAGTCACCTGGATGTGTGAGGCTTTTGCTTGTGGGAGTAATAAGGGGATAACAGAGAATCCTCTACTTTCAAGCCCACCACACCCTGAGATAAGAGGCAACTGAATTTGGTGCTGGCACTATGCATGAATTTGACACATCAATAAATCTCCTAATCAGATTTTTCTTTGCAGATGGAAGTTAACGACATAAAGAAAGCTCTTCAATCAAAATGAATACTGGATAGGTGGAATGTTACATTATTCATCATGACTGAGACTCAAATTTATGCCCCAGCCAAAATAACTTTGTGCCAAATGATTTAAGAATTGCCTCAATATCCCTTTGTTTGAAGGATTAGCACAAGAGTTTTTGATAGCACAACACAAATTCCAACGAAGAGGAAAAAACTTCAGGGGATGCAGTTGCTGTATGGCACTGGTTGTGACTGAAACTGATCTTACTGTGCTAACGTCTCTACTTCAAGATCACAAATGAAATGAAAACTCAGGCAGTGTAGTCCGTAGTGGTACTATTTTGACGATATTTTTCCATAAATAAAATGTATTTCAGGTTATCCGTTTACAAGCTTTTATGATTTTGACCTTTTTTTTAATTCTTTTGTCACAGATTCCTAAAATATTTGTACTGCATATAAGCCAGGAATGAATGTTGATGTTTGGGGGGGGGTGTGTTTTTTTGCTTCCGGTAGAATAGCCTGCTTTTTGTGGGATGGTTTACATGCTAGTACAGATGCAATTTTATGTCCCAAAACCAATCTACAGTGTAAATTTAAGTTTGTGTAGAATGGCATATTTAAAAAAAAGAAAAAAAAAGAAAATCTTGTCTTGACAATGATTTGTGCCTTCTTTTTGCCACCCACTGGTTGGAACTGGGTTGCAAACCAGATCTCAATAATGTAGCTGCCATGATGACACCAATCACTTAGGTCCACTAGAGGTCACTCTTCTGAGGTATAGCTGCTCAGACAACCTCGCCAGATGTGTGCTAAGGCAGCATAAGGTTGGGAGCAGCTTTGTCTTACAAGCCGTGGCTTTTTAGCTTTCCTGTTTAATAAGACTCTCATTCAGCTAGAAAAGTCATCTCTGCTTGATTTTCATTAGAAAAGTTAAAACACCTGCCTTTGTCCCCATTTTTGCACACTTTGAGTGAACAGAATATGCATTACTAAAGCAAAAATAAATAAAATTTAACTAAATATATCATCAGTTAAAAGGTTGTATTATTTCATACACAAGGTTCTCTTTGTTGTGTGATGTTGTTTAACTTGCTATTTATGTGATGTCATTTGCCACATTCTGTTGTAAGCTTTCTAACATAGATGAAATAGAAGGATTTCTTTATAATACATTTTAGCAGCTGTGCTTTCTTTTCTGGTTTTATGAAAATCAAGTTTTGTGTGTGTTTGTTTGTTTGTTTGCAATGGAGCATTTCAGCCTTTGAAAGTAACTTGTTTCTTTCCTGTTAGTGCAATCTGAAACAAAGTATTATAAGACTGCTCTGGCTTCATATATAAATGGCAGCAGATTTCATTTAGCCTGTGAGAATGGTTTTATTATGTTTCTCAAATGCCCACTATGTCTGTTTATTGAGTTTATCTGAATCAGCTAAATATAGATATTTTTGTACAGCTTGTGGAATGAGTGATTGATAGCATTAGTATTAGGAAGTGATAAAATCGCACAAAGGATCTATTATTCATTATATCAAGTGTTATTAATTGATACCACCCTAGAGTTCCTGCATCACAGTTTACTGTTCTTCCTGCTAAGGGTTGGATAGGACTTATTTCTCAATCTGCCTGTGCCATTCATGAACAGCTGGCGGGGTTCTCATTTGGTTATATGGAGAATTCATTTATATATGTTTAAACACACAAACGTCCCAGTATACACGTGTTACCTGAAGGATTCTCAACTGGGTGTTCTGCATGGCAATACAGAACATTATCATTGGGTCAATTTCCTTTGCTTGTGCTTTTATGCAATGAAGGTGTCTGAGATTTCAACTTTTGTTAGTGAAATTTACAATCTTTGATTTAAATTACAGTGTATTCTCAGTTGTAACTGGAACAAAAGCACTAATTACATATGTGGTCACTGAGATGCTTTTATTTAATGTTTTTAAACAACTGCATTGAGATTTTTTAAAATAAAATTTATAGTCCCATCACGGTTTTCCAGCAATAAAGATATTTAGGTTATTAATTTCTGTATCTTTTATGAGACCAGTAACAGTTTGGGGAGAATAGGAGGACTTGCGATGTAGCCTGTAAGGATTCTGCTGGGGTTCTGAACTGTGTATATTTGAAACGTATACAGAATTAAACAGTTTCATAATGCAGTAGATTCCTAACTTCACCCATGGGGAAAAAAAGCTATGGTACCAGTGATAAATTAAAGTATTTTTTCCTGGACTGGACCTTGAAATATAAGAGGCAACTCTGAAAAGTTGCTTTTATAAAAGCCTGTCTGAACTCAGCATGGACTTTCCTGAAATTAGATTTCATCGATTTTTTTCTCCTGTTAAAATGGTTTTTCTCCTGTTAAAACTTGTCATTTTATAAGGCTATACTTAGAAGTCCGACATATCATGCTTTGTAAAAGAAGATAAAATGAGATTTTGTGAAAATATTTTGTTCAAAACTTTATTGTTCTGGGAGGAAGATTTCTGGGGAAAACAAGTTCTTCTTCTTCTTTCTGGTTTCAGAGTAGCAGCCGTGTTAGTCTGTATTCGCAAAAAGAAAAGGAGTACTTGTGGCACCTTAGAGACTAACAAATTTATTTGAGCATAAGCTTTTGTGAGCTACAGCTCACTACATCCTATGAAGTGAGTTGTAGCTCACGAAAGCTCATGCTCAAATAAATTTGTTAGTCTCTAAGGTGCCACAAGTACTCCTTTTCTTCTTCTTTCTGCATTTCATTATAATAATAGAAAATTTTACAAAGGACATGAAATCCCCCTTTAAAAAAATGAATGATTCAGTAAGACCTGTAGATATTAACTGCTGCTTTTGAAAGGTTCGTTTTTATATTCAAAGAAAAACAGAAAATGCTGAGGAGCTACGAAGTCATTTTGAAATGAAAATGATTAAATGTGTTTGAAGAGTCATGTAAAATTACTTTTCATTAACGTGCACACACACAAACACTCTGGTGGCAAACATGCAATTTTGTGATTGTTTTCTTTCATGTGGAAATTGCTGTAAAGCATCACGTTTATGCCTTTGAGTTATTATTAATAGTTCAATTGCTTTTTCCTTCTATAATCACTTGTACCTGGGCCACCATGTTACATATAATTTGATTCATTGATGTTTTGCCTGTTTTGTGTATGATAATGCTTTATATAATTCAGTGAAAGAAATTATGTATACCCCAGGTGGCAAACTCATAATAAACAGAGCCCCTCAGTTTACAGATAACTTTAACAAATGCATTTTGTTAAATCTGTTGGGTTCATTTTGTATTTATGCAACTGGTAGGAAATACTGAAAATCCTTCAAAATGATACTTTTAAAAAATCAACACTGAAAGGGCCTAGTTTCCGCTAGATGTGTGACCATAATTGTTGTTAACATTACTAGAAGAATAAATGTTAAATGAAAGTAGAACCCATAATATAAAAAGTATTCAAAGCTGGGATTAAATTCTAGTAGTGAAATTTCATTTTTTGGTCAGACATTTTAATCATGTTCTGTTTATAAATAAGTTATAAATCAACTGTTAGTCCAATAGGTCACTTATAGCCATCTATCACACTTTCAATAGATGTGCTTAAAATGGTCTATAATGCACACTGCTCACATCTGTAACATGCTTGTTACATCTAGACATTATAAACTATATAGAATGTTACCTTAATATAAAATGTAAACCATCTTTCTATATCCATCAATGTTTAAATTTCTACCACTGCAAGAAAGATAATGGGTATGGGCAAGGAAAAACTTGCAGGCATGGACGGATGTGCAGAAATATTACTCCATAGCTATCTTTTTTATCTTTATACTTTAGTCCAGTGGTTCTCAAAGCTGGGCCGTTTGTTCAGGGAAAGCCCCTGGCAGGCCGGACCGGTTTGTTTACCTGCCGCCTACGCAGGTTCGGCTGATCGCAGCTCCCACTGGCTGCTGTTCGCTGCTCCAGGCCAATGGGGGCTGCAGGAGGGGTGGCCAGCACAACCCTTGGCCCACGCTGCTTCCCGCAGGCCCCATTGGCCTGGAGCAGCGAACTGCGGCCAGTGGGAGCCACGATCGGCTGAACCTGCGGACGCGGCAGGTAAACAAACCGGCCCAGTCCGCCAGGGGCTTTCCCTGAAAAAACGGCGGACTGGCTTTGAGAACTACTGCTTTAGTCCATCTTAAATCTATTGTGTGTTGTTCTTTTACATTCAAGTTCCAGTAAAGATACAGAAATGTTTAGCCTCTCTGACAGGAAACTTTGCCTTCCAAATGAACTAGTCCCCTCTACACCACCCTCTGCTGCCTTGTCACATTTGGAAACAGACAGACTGATATAAATACTATGTGCTAAGGCCCTGATGTTACAAGCTCTTCTGTGGAGAGCCCATTGGATTCAATGGCAGCCGGGGGCAGGGGACAAGTGTGGCAGCTTGTGTGATCAGGGCTTATGTGATTTATAAGCATCTACTATTTGTTTTCATTGTGTCGAAGTGCCACACTATGTCAGCAGTGTTGCCAACTCTTGTGATTTCAGCCTGACTAATGCAATGTTGGCCATTGCTGAAGTCTCTCTTTCTCCCTGTGAGAGGCTCCAGTCCTGCGGGGGGGGGGGGGGAGGAAATCCCTTTGATTGGCTGCCTTCACTTCTCCCATTCCCTACCTCCTAGGAAAGAGCAGCCAATCGGGGCTGCTGTAGGAAGTAGGCTGAGTTCCCATACACACACATATCACACCAGGAACCAGGAGGAGGTTTTCGGTAGGGGTGGGAGGAGAGGAAGCAGCAAGTAATGTTCTCACAGGAGGGGAATGAGGAGCAGAAAGAGCACAGCAGTTGAGGGCGGTTCTTCTCCGTCCACTTCTCTCACTCTATCCTTGCAACACAGGCCTGTTGAGGAGCTGTGAGGAATAACGTGTGGAGCTGGGCAAGCGACCGAGGTGGGGAGAGGGAGAAATGCGGGGAAGGGCCTGAGAATGCTGCAGCTACCACACTGGAGGTAGGCGGGGGATTCAAAACAGACTAAAAGCATAATATAATCAACAAGAAATCACCTCATGATTTGTGGGGGCGGAGGGGGGAGTCCTCAAGATTGTTGGAGTTAGCAATACGACATGGGAACTGTAACTTAACCATTGTTCAGAGAGGAGAGAAAGCCAGACTACTTAAGAGATTGCTTGATTTATACCCAAAATAACGCTTGCTGTTTAGAATTCCATGAAGTGTATGGAATCACCATATTCAACTTCAATTACTGGTACATAGTAGAAAGGTGATATGGAAGGGGGGGGGTTCAGCTGTTGTGATCTGCATTGGATGTGCCATGTTTGTCTTTATTCCACAGGACAGAAGCGACTTTGTCTGTACAAAGTGCAAGCTGGTCTCCATATTGGAAGAGAAGATTGAAGGTCTGGAGCAACAGATAACGACCCTGCGTTGCATACGAGAAATGGAGGATTTTCTGGACAAAAGTCAGGATATGTTTCTACGGGCACAAAGCTCTAAAGATTTAGAGCAGATTTAGAATAGGTTTAGAGCAGGAGCCAAGAGGCCAGTGAAGAAGCTTGGCAACATGTGACCTCCAGAAGAAGAAGGGGGAATGTCCGGGTTCCAGCAATGCGGACACAGGTAACTAACCGCTTTCATGTTCTCTCCACAGGTACCATTGCGGAGAGTGGACCAGATGATATGTCTGGGGGGAGAAAGCAGAAGGAGACTCCGCTGGTTGGAAGGCATGAGATGCACTGTCCTGAGATGGGGGGTTCCACGACCACCACTCCCAAGAGAAGGAGGCGGGTGGTAGTGGTCGGGGACTCTCTCCTCCGGGGGACTGAGTCATCTATCTGCCGCCCTGACTGGGAAAACCGAGAAGTCTGCTGCTTGCCGGGGGCTAAGATTCGCGATGTGACGGAGAGACTGCCGAGACTCATCAAGCCCTCGGATCGTTACCCCTTCCTGCTTCTCCACGTGGGCACCAATGATACTGCAAAGAATGACCTTGAGCGGATCACTGTGGACTACGTGGCTCTGGAAAGAAGGATAAAGAAGTTTGAGGCGCAAATGGCGTTCTCGTCCATCCTCCCCGTGGAAGGAAAAGGCCTGGGTAGGGACCGTCGAATCATGGAAGTCAACGAATGGCTACGCAGGTGGTGTCGGAGAGAAGACTTTGGATTCTTTAACCATGGGATGGTCTTCCATGAAGGAGGAGTGCTGGGCAGAGATGGGCTCCACCTTACGAAGAGAGGGAAGAGCATCTTTGCGAGCAGGCTGGCTAACCTAGTGAGGAGGGCTTTAAACTAGGTTCACTGGGGGAAGGAGACCAAAGCCCTGAGGTAAGTGGGAAAGCGGGATACCGGGAGGAAGCACAGGCAGGAATGTCTGTGAGGGGAGGGCTCCTGCCTCATACTGAGAATGAGGGGCGATAAGCAGGTTATCTCAAGTGCTTATATACGAA